TCCCATCAGTAAATTCAGGTCCTGAAAGCTTTACTCCATCCATGTGTTTATGGTAGAGATAGTCGAAAAGTAGAAGTCATCTTTTGAGTATCTTTCAATAGCAGGGACTGATTGGGGGCACTATATTGACCTTGTTCGGCTGCTGTTGATGAGGCACCCAGGGCCTGACAATATCCTGCTGCTTTTCTAAGGGTTCATGACTAATTCCTCTGAAGTGAACTGCCTCTTCCTCTTTCATAGACTGTTCTTAATGTAGAAGCTCTGCTGAAATGTGTTCATCTTGGTCCCTCTGCTGGTTTGTAATATATCACGGTAGTAGCTTCCAGCATCACAACAACATGCAAGCCACAACTGTATGACAAATTGACAATGAAGTGTTGGCTCCACTACATTATATTTACTTAAACCACTGAGAATCGTGGTCCAGCCAATTTTTCACATAACTTTAGCCACAGTAGTGATGCTTTTGACTAATATTGTTAATGTCTAGAGAGTTAAATAGTAATACTTTTGCAATAGTAAATATGAAATTTCAGATAATGAGATAGTTGACAAATGAGGCATAATATATTGACAATTGTCAAATTTGAGCAGTTCATCAATAAAGCACAAAGATATAAATATCATAGTCCGTCTACTATCTACTTGGAAAAATGTACCAATTATCTTAAGGCTGAACTAAAACAGACTGAAGGCTAAGTGTTGTTAGGGAAACCCTTTCCAGTCTTGCAATATGTTATAATTGGCTTGATGGCAGTGAGATTAGTTTGGTTTTACTATATTCTAAGCCTAAATTCTATAACTATGCATTTCTCATGACATCTAGGGTTATCTTACCTTCAAGTAACTATGAAATCGGTATTTTAACTTACTAACTATTGAATTCTTATCTTTATGCAAGCTCTTTATATTGTCCTACTTAAAATTTAGGCATCATCACAAAAACAAAAATGATGAAGAGTGGGAAATAGTATCTTGGAAGATAATTATTTGGGACAAAATAAAAATTCAAGTTTAAAGTATCCTTAATTTTTTTTAAAAGTATGATGCTGAATGGAAATAAAGTATCTTGCCTCAGAATATAAAAATTTAGTCACTGTGAATAAAATAAGTGATCAAAATATCTTCAACCACATGTTTTAGTTAGGCAATTTTGTTTGTTATGCAAATTAAGTAAAACACATAATACAATTGCTGAAAACAAAGATTTGGCTTATAATAAAATTTTATGTGGTTTAATTTTATCTATTCGTTTATCTTTATGCTAGGCTGTGTTTTGTGTAAAAATTCATATCAAGAGAGACATTTATATCAATAAAGTGCCCCTACCACTATAAAACTACTGGACCAGGCTGGCTCGAGTCTCTTAGTTGGATGTTCTGCTGGAAGCCCTTTCCCTGACTGATGCAGCTGCCAGCACCTGGGGACAAAAAAGCCAGGAGATGAAGGAAGAGGCTGGAGGACAAAGCAGGAGGCAGGAAGAGCACAGGCTGCTAAAGGCAGACCTTTAGTCCTAAGAAGACAGATGCAGGATCCGGACCAGAAAGGAGTAAGATGAGGAGGACGGAGGGTAAAAAAAGAGGAGCTTATCCCAAGGGCTTAAGTAGAAAATATTTTGGAAATGATGATGGCAAAATATGTAAAACTATGCTTGATACAATTGATGTATGGAATTTTATAAAAGCTGTAAGAGCCTCCAATAAGAGCTTCCTTTTTTTTAACTTTTATTTTTTTATTTATTTATTATTTTAAATCTATTTATTGGGGCTTATACAATTCATCACAATACATAGATCAATTGTGTAAAGCACATCTATACATTTGTTGCCCTCATTATTCCCGAAATTCGCTTGCCTCTTGGGTTCCCGGAATCTGCTAATTTTCCTTTTTTTTTCCCCTCCCCTTCCTCCTCCCCTTTCCCCCATGCACCCTTAATAATTTATAAATTATTATTGTAGTGAAGGGTTAAGATGAGAGCAAACCTTGTTCTATAGTCTGTTTATAGATGTGACATTGGGCACACCCCAAGGAAATATTGTGAGGCTGTGCCTTAAAACTTAGTGGTGGGAGACTTGCTTCCACACTACTGAGGATCTTGGGCAAGTTGGCCCACAATCTAGCTATCACAGACTTTAAAGAAAATTCCAGTGAAATGGTATTGTGACTACTAACTATAATAAAAAACACAGAACGAAACAAAGTTTCATAACCTTAATCAATGTATCTGTGTATAAACATGTAAGTGACCAAAATCTGAATTCACTTCTCACTTTCTGAATCATATTAGTCCAATGATTATGGACTCTGTTCCTCTAGTGTGTATGGGTTGTTATATTCTGCATTTGTATATTTCCTTAACCCATACCCCAGGATATTACCAAATGTCCCAAAGGGAGACATAGGAAGTATTTACAGCATGTACCTTGGATGATGAATTGATGAATTGTGGATTAGAAAATGTCAAAGAATGTTATTATCATAGAGAAAAATAGAACTGTTCATTATATGATTCACTGATGCTAACAGAAAAGAGTGGGTGAAGGACTATAAAAATCTCTTTGCATCCATGTTTTACTTTTAGTTGATAACACTAGCATATGGGAACAAAATATTAATTTAAGTCATTGCTTTGACATTATTATGTTTAAGTGAATGAAACAATGCAAAGCAGCGGATTGGCAGCAAATAACAAGCATCTCTAAATAAATGTCTTTCCTCAATGATGTGCTTAATTTTAAGGAGAATCTGATAAACCACATGATGAGCTAGTCTCACAGCATTTTTAATAATGAAAATAGATGAATTGTAGTGGGGATTGAATGTTGACTTCTACACCAATGATAATATATCTTCTCCTTTATTTATTTATATTTTGGGGGGTGCCAAAACCCGAGAATGAACCAATCTTCTCCTTTAATTATCTTCGAATCATCAGAGTGTAGAGAAGGAATATTATGGACAATATTGTCTTCAGTTTGGTTGCACAATTTAGGCATATTGTCTCTACAGTAAATGTCAGGTGTAGTCTACCAGACATCCATCAACGATATTTAGAATGCATTCTAATGGTGAGGTTAATGACTAGGGCAAATAGAGAAACATAGAAATCACTCTATGGAATAAATTGCTCGCGGATTTTCTATAATGTCACGTTAAGATGAAGATTTCCATATTAAGCACAATTGTAGGCACTAGATAACTATTTGATATGTAAGTCAACAATATATATAGACAGATGAATCTAAATGACTGGTAATACAAATTTCATATTTCTCCCTGAATATGGTATTTTTAAAACTCTGAAGTAGTGGCTAGAATAACACTTCTGATCCATTCTGTTCTGAAATTCTCTTCCTCTGTTTACTGATACTTTGGTACCTAATGCAGGCTATTCACGTTCCGTATCATCATGCTCTTGGCTTACCATGCCTTTTTATTAAGATTCGGCTTACTTGGTGCAGAGATTTTGAAGTCTCTAAATATCCTCAATTTATAATAATTAGAGATTTTTTTTCAGTTGTACTGTTTAAGTGCACAGTTTTGTTTTAAATAGTATTTTTTAAACACTGTTATCAGTGTTTTTGTTATTATTGCTAATAAGGGCATTTCATACTTACTCGAAGATCCCCAAAGCTGCATGGCCTAGCACTAAATTAGCATAATTCATTGCTTGCTATCTTCACAGTTTAGTGCAGCCCCACAGAGTCTTGGAAAGGGTCTCCTTTGGGTATACCAAATATTGTACCTCATCTCAAGGGTCACAACCCAAAGTTCAGTTTTTCAGTCTTTTTAGACTGCTCAAATTCCTGATCTCCATTTTATGAATAATTTTGTCCATTAGGTCCCAATAGGTCTTTCTCTTTTTTAGAGGAAACATAGTCTATAATAATATAATGATATAGCACAGACAATATAACTACAATAAAATGTATTAATCGAAAAATGGAAGAATATCTGTAGTTGGTCTATTTGATTCTTGAAATTCCAGAACTACTAGTGACAGAGGTAGCCAGGCTTCTTTCTTTATGTGGCTTTATAATTCTTTGTTTTATTTTCCACTTTATCCAGCTACGAAGACTGAGATCAATGTAATATGCAAGGAAGTTCCAGTTAATTTAAAGGACAAGTTTAACACACCCTATTGTTTTTTACTGAAATAAAGTTGCACCTAGAAATAAAAGGTAATTTGTATATACTTTCTCACATTACAAGGAGAAAAATAAATTGATTTAAAAAAATAAGACAGTATTTATCATCTAAGAATGACTTCTATTTCTTCTCCTAGGATGCTGTAGTTGTGTTCTGACTTTTACAAACCTAACTCAAATGTTAGGATTAACCCAATCTATATTCTGTCCTTTTCATAAAATTAAAATGATCATTTCAATAACACTATTGCCTGAGTAATAATTTCATGATTGAGTCTGTGCTGTAAATTAATCATGCAGTAGACAATAACATGGAAATCCTGACTCTTTTTTGTTTAATTGCATCAAAGACTACTCTGCTTACAATAGCAAAGGTGATTTTTATAGTTTGAATTTTACTTACTATATTCTAGAGAGCACCAGACCAGCTAAATGTACATTCCTTAATTGAGTGTGTTTTTCCAAGTTCAAATTATTTCCACCCCCCTTTTTTTTCTATTCACAAAGGAAAAGCTCCAGTCCATCTTTTAATTTTTTTGAAAATGTCCCGACATTGCAGAACTAAACTGAAATGTATTAGTATTACACTCTTACATATACATGACAAACAGAAAAAAAATTCATGAGCCAAACAAAACAAACAAACAAAAACAGGAGAAGCTTATAAAACAGCTGAACAGAGAAAGGAATGAAAACACTTTAATTAAAAAATCATGAGTGGATGATAAAATGTAGAAATTGAAAATTTACAAACTATTTAAAACCTGGACTCGCTGACTGTTCAGAAATGACACAGTTGGATCCTGGGTGTGGTGAACAGCAGAAAAGGGTTATGGATGAATCTGCATGGTTCTAGCTGCTCCTGCTGCCACCCATCTCTGAGGAAAGCCTGACATTGATTAGATACTGAGCCAGGCGAATGCTGGCAGCAGATCCAGTGATGGTAGCCTGTCTATCAGTAGATCCTTCCACTGGGTTCGCGATTTTGATATGTGCCCCAGACATCTGACAGATCTCGTTGATTTTGGTGTCTTGATGCCCAATTATGCAGCCAATCAAATAATTAGGAATGGTGAATTCATGAGAAGTAGTCTGAGCAGACACATCCAAACCCTTATAGCCTTTCTCTTCTGGAGAGCTGGATTCAATGCCACTGAATCCGGCGTTGCCATATGTCCTAGGAAAATGAGACTGTTGCACTGCCAATTTGTGCAGCTCAGTCAAATCTGGCTGTGGAATGGCATACTGTCCTTGACTGGTATAGGCCTGGCCACCTGCAAAGATGACTGGAGAACTGGACGGCTTGGGCCGGTATGGGATGGTCATGCCCTTCGGGGGGGACCGGGAGAGCGTCTCCAACATGACCACGCAGATCCGTTTGACACACTCAATGATGGATTGCAGAATGCCAGCAATAGTGATGGCCCGCTTGGTTGAGTTGGGAAGCATGTGTCTAGCCACCTGGACCTGAGCCCCTGTACTCTCACGAATGTCTTTGATTTTGCAACCACCTTTCCCAAGGAGAGAGCCACACTGACTCGCCGGGACCACCAGCCTCAGGGTGACTGGGGGCCTACTCGCAGCTGTGCTGTTTGTCATAGAGCTGCTGATGTCCTCTTCCAGTTTGTCCATGATCACAGCAAAGGCTTTAGAGATGGCATGAGTGGGACCAGGCAAAGTGATCATTCTGTCAAGACAATTTCCTTCTGAGATGTTGATACGTGCACCACTCTCTTCCCACATCTTCTTACCCGATTCTTCTTTCTTTCTGATGATACTGCCAACTTCCTTTCCATGCATAAGTAGCCGGATGGTGAGAGTGACATTTAATCCACCATCACTCACACCGGTGTCCATGTAAAGCAGTGTTCTGGGGAGTTAGACTTTGAGTGGTCAATTCTTCGGTCACTGGTGGGGGTGAAAGCCAAAAACTGCAGGCGCCAGGTGACTGAGGGGGAAAGGAGGAGTGGACACAAGGGGAAGGGTTGGAGGCCTGGGAGAGAACACTAGGGGTGGGAGGGAAGTGAGCAGGAGGGGGGCCCTGCTGGCGGAGAAGGAAGGGTGTGGGGTGGGATGGAGGAGAAGGAGGAGGAAGGGGGAAAGAGACCCCTGGGCGGGAGGAGGGCGGCAGGCGGATCATAGCCCAATGTGTAACTGCAAGCCACTAGGTCTTTAGATTTTCAATATTATTGAATTTTCAAAATTATTGAAAATTAAGTTAGTGTGGTCTTTAGGGTCCAAAGGGCTATGATCCACAGGGTCCACAGGTGGAAACTCCCAGTCGCTCCTTGAGAGAAACACGGTTTTCCACTCCTGTAAAGAAACTCACAGACACAGTTCTAACCTGTCCTTCGCTATGAATTGGCATTGATTCCATGGTGTGAATTTGGTTTGGTTTTAGGGTCTTATAACTATATTTTGCATATTTTCACTAGTATAAATTGTGAATTTTTGCTACGAGAAGACATGTAGGAACATCTATAATTGGGATATATTAACTCCTCCAATTTAATACTATTCTAGATCAAGGTGCACTATCTTTTTAATAATTAAGTGGGCTAATTTAAAAATTAAGCAGGTTCTCAATGTGTACCTAGATGTATTTATGTTCATTTTGAAGACAGATAAACGATTATTGTATACATTGTAAAATGCTTATTCTCTCTTAACCTGTAAGACTAAGTAAGTGAAATCCACTGACCTCAAAATTTCTCCCTCAATATCAGGATCGGGGTCATATTGGTATTGTTCAATCGCATACAGCATGTAGAACAGGCTCTTTTTAACTAAGCTGGTTCAGCTCTAGATTTAGCTCGGCTCCCATCTTTGGGGTAAGTAGTATAGATAAGCATGAGTAAATATTTTGAAAAAGAAAAACACCACTACAAAAAAGTAATTTATGTATAATTTGAGGATATTTTCTTGCAAGATTCAATGTTGAAATAAAGCTTTATTTTTGTGCTCCAAACCTTGGCTAACTGTATATTTAATTTCATGTTCAAAGATTTCAGTGCATTGAATTATAGTGCTTTTACATTTGATTTATAGCATTTTATATTTCAGGAAAAAATAAAGGATAAAATCCAAGGAAGTTGGCACTTTCTTGCTTATACACACACCCTAACACATGCATACACACATTGTTTATCCTCCCTGGATCGATCTGTGGACAGAGTTTTTTCCTTGCTTCACTGTACACATCACATATAAAAGGCCACCCAAATCCTGGCAAATAATTCAAAATAAAATTTCAGGATGTCAGTTAACTAGAAGAGCTAGTGAAGAGATTTGAAGAGACAGAAATTTGAATAACATATGCAAAAAGAAAAGGGAATAAATCTCTTCAATATTCCATAGAAAGTTTAAAGCTCATTGTCGAAAGCAAATCTAATATTAGTTTTAAATCCTCCTGCTACATAATACATATTTTAGTTTAGAAGACTACATAGATGTATTTATAATTATGTGTATATGTAATCTTAAGAATATGTATATATCAATTTTACTAGTTCTATTTGTGAAACGCTTTGAAGGAATTTTCCTGGATTTAAAAATAAGATTTATTTGTTGGAATTAATATTAAATTAAAAGAAATAGATTAAATGATTTGGCAATTCTAGAAGAAGTTGATGTACTTACCAAATGTCACACTATAACTCAACAGATTACTTTGTGTTAATCTACTGTATTATTTCAACAAGGGTACCGGATTCCAAAAATATCCTGCTCCATTTAAATGTTAATGTAGATAAAGCTATGAAGGTCTCTTAAAGATTATGGGAGCTGAATATTCAAGCTATCTAACATTTGGCCTTTAGAGATAAAGTTTCTTTACCTCACTCAAAAAGCTATATCTGTAAAAAGGAAATGACTTTGTAAATGTGTAGGGTCTTAGTGTTATTAAATATTTATTAAGATTCAACAGAACACTAAGCCTTATTGAGTAAGAATAGAATAATGTTTACTTTAATTAATCTAGTACTTAAAGACTCTTAAGGGAGATGTATGCACAATGCGCATTGTTATGAATCACTTTTCAGGGTATATGATAGGATTCAAACTTATAAAAGCTTAGATGTGATATCATTTGTTTATTTTTATGGAGTTGACATAAAGGACAAAATATCCCCCTAAGCCTAGTTAACCATTGACTTAAAATGAGGACACATTTGTCTTTGAGATTGACCCATTTTTTTTGAGGCTATGTTGTCATATTATAGTATAAATAAATGGATATTTTCCTGAATAATCCAAAGATGACTCTCTATACTTTTAGCCAATATTACTATTACCAATTGTGCTATCCTGTTTCCTTTGACACATGGCAACCCCGCGGAGGATGAAAAGAAATTGTCTTAAGAAAGCCTAGAGGCCAGAGTCACCAAAAAGAAAGAGAAGGAGGTAATCTGCTTCTCAAAAGCCCCACAGAGCACAGTTACACATTCACACATCAGAGCTCCACAAAGTAGTGGACTCAAGCCAACAGGTGTTTGTTTATGTCTAGTCTTAAACTAACGCCGTGACTGTAGAGTCTATGTTGACTCTTGAGAAATCCCTGTGCTACAAAAGAGAACTACTTCATAGGCTTTTCTTGGTTATAATCTACAAAACACCAGATATCCATACCACTTTGCTGGTAGCTAATTTTAATTAGCTAAAATTGCCAACACTTACATTATCTGCTGAGTATGAGCTGATCCCATCCCCTGGAAGATCACTCACTAGTAGAACCACATGAAGCTTCTGAGATGCGCCCATAACTTTACAAGTAAAGTCCAGGGAGGTTGAGGGAATGAATGCGCACAGCTTGTTGGCACCACAGACCTGATTGGACCTTAACACTCCAGATTGTGAAAGCTGTGCTCTTGTCAATTACAGAAACATGCAGGCATTCAACACTACTACCTTGATAACTGGTCATCGATCTGGAGGGAAGGAGATATTTTGAACTTGAAAGTAACTTCATCTTCTCTTTAATAATTCCAAATGAATATGAACTCTGATTTTAAAGCTGATTTTATCATGACATCGACACAAATTATTTTGCATTCATTCTTAAAATATTAAAAGTATTTCCTAGAAGACTAAGGGGAAAACAAACAAACAAACAACTTTAATCAAAATTAAGTCTTTCCAGCTAAAGAGAAGATTCTGTTTTGTTGTGGTTAGGTGCCATCGAGTCGGCTCTGACCCATAGCCACCCTATGCACAACAGAACGAAAGACTGCAGAGTGCTGCGCCGCCCTCACAAAAGTTCCTGTGCCTGAGCCCATTGATGCAGCCACAGTGTCAACCTGACTCATCGAGAGCCTTCCTCGTCTGTACTGCCCTTCCACTTTACCAAGCATGACGTCCATCATGAGGAACTAGTCTCTCTGGACAATATGGCCAAAGTATGTAAGATGAAGTCTTGGCCTCCTTCCCTCTAAGGAGCACTCTGGCTTCACTTTTTCCAATACAGATTTGTTTTTCCTTTCAGCAGTCCATGGTATTTTCATTATTCTTCTCCACCAACAACATCAATTCTTCTATTTCCTTCCTTATTCAATGTGTACCTTTCGCTTGCATATGATACAGTGGAGGGTGTCGTGGCTTGGCTCACGTTCACCTTAGTCCTCGAAGTAGTGTTTGCTCTTCAGTATGCTAAATTGATATTGTACAGTAAGTTTCCCTAATGGAATATGTCTTTTGATCTCTTAATTGCTGCTTCCATGAGCATTGATTGTGAATCCAAGTAAGACAAAATCCCTGACAATTCAACCTTTTCTCCATTGATCATGATGTTACTTATTGGGCCAGTGTGGAAAGCTGCAATAGTCATCTTCATCAGCAACTACTCCAGTTCCTCC